GTGTGTGTGTGTGTGTTTAGTTTGTCCGTCCTCACGAGTCTCTTAGCAGAAACTGTTTGTCCTGAAACTTTGTCATTTTCCGGAGAGTGTTACCTGTCCTTCTTTATTTGTTGCAAAATTTAGGGACAAGAGAGAACCATATGTGTTTTCTTAAAATCAATGGCCAGCACATTACTGTAAAACCTATTGATTAAAAACACAAAGTATAATGTTAGTCATTTAGTCTGTGAAGTGACGCGCTGAGGGAAGAAATTTATCCTTTGACTTTTGCATTAACCTTTATTGACTGCTTGCATACCCATAATTAACACACACTTTAGCTAAAGTGGTTAATTTTAGCATGGCGGCCAATGTTCACTAATGTAGCTGCCATCTTGATCACCCAGATGTAAGGGAAGCCCTGGGGGAAATCAGTGAGTTACACCTCAGGGTGGAGGCTGCAGGACCTCTGGGCCAGCCGGCTCCCTGTGTTCTCACTAAGTCATTCAGAGAGAGCCTTTCCTCAGCAGCAAAGACCTTTGAGGATGGTCCATTGAGCTGTTGGAATGGAAGCCAGGTGAATGGGAACGAGAGGGATGAAGAGCTTCTAGCCTTGAGTTTGGTTTGGTTTGGGTTTGTTCTGTTCTGTTTTGTTTGGCTCCCTTTTAAGGGTTTCAAGAGTTTTCTAAGTAAATCCAGGTTTACTTGCCAACTCCAGAAGCATCCAAAAATAGAGTTTTCCCCTTAGGAGATGAGAATGAATGTCGGGAGGGGAAGCTGTGACCTTCATACTGGGTGGCTAAGGACAGTAAGAGCTGAGAAGGACATTAAGTTAGGTAGAGCTAGGGACGGGTAAGAACTGGGAAGGCCACTAAGTTGGGTAGGATCTTAATGTTCTGAAAAGATCATCAGGTTCTGGCTGTGAAAACAGGCTTATTTCCTAGCAAAAGCCCCAAGTTCCTAAGTTCAAACACAGTCTGTGTGCACGCTGCACAGTACCAGCAGTAGCATGGGCACTCGGTGAGACCATGGCAGTGGGTCCTGTAAAATGTGGGAAGTAGCTGAGGTGGGAAGAGTGGCTAGTGTCATCAGGTTCTTTGGGTTGCAAGTAACAGAAGAACCTACCTCAGGCAGTAGAGCTTGAGAGAATGCAGTCGACAGAGACCTAGCTCAGGTGAGCCTTCTCCATCTGATGGTACAGTTTAGAACCCTGCCTCTCGTGGCAGGGAAGCGAAACGACCTTGGAAGGTCAGGGTTGCACAGATCCGGAGAGAAAAAAGTATTGTCCCTCAGCTCCTGCCTCCCATCTCGGGTTGCGTCTGTTTTCTCCAGATTGTATCGTGTGCCTCTCGAGCTGTTCCCCTTGCCGAGGAGTAGGCTGTGCCCACCGCACCGCCACGCTTGGCACTGCTAAAACACAGGGGCCCTTAGGACACTCAGGACCCCTCTCTCGTTCAAGGAACTGTAGGATTCATGCTAAGAAACAACCCAGCATGGTTTCCAGTAAGTGGCAAGTCCACATGAAGCAGCCACCACTCCTTCCTTAGTGTGAGTTGGAAGCCGCTGGTCCTACTGAGTCTGCGCACTGTAGCCTGCTACTGAAAGTTGCTTCTCTGGTTAAGCCTCATGCCTCAGGATGTTGCTTGTGACACGATTGAGCCACAGGCTGTGTGATTCAAATCAGAAAGAACTATGCTAGGGCTGCTGAGCTGCCCCCAGAGAACCAGTTCAGAGGCCTGCACCAAGGGACTTTGGAAGGGGGAGAGAGCCACTCAGCAACAGCTAGGACTCTGGCGGCATCTCTCAGCTGTCACTGGCACTCGTGGTGAAAGTAATGATAGTGGTGATATTTAATAGTTACTGTGTGCTGGGCAGTATTCCAAACACTACCTCAGTTAATCACATCAAACACGTGAGTCAGAATGTTATTACTGCAAAACACACACACACACACAAACAGACACCAGCTTGCTTGTAGGGAATATTTCCTCTGATTCCTCAGGCATGCTTGAAATAATGGTTGATAATAATAATAAGTTTTCCTGGGCACACATGCCTAGATAAAGTTTAATTTAAAGATAGCACAGGAAAAGATGGGCACCAGTAACTAATAAAACAGAACCATTTCAACAGTGTGCTGCAATAGAATTAGATGAATTTAGTTGTCCCCCAAATACCGCGCGCTCCACTCACCCCCAGGGCAGTGCTGTGAGGTGCCCACGAGGAGGAGGTGAGCTGAGATGGGTGACAATGACACGGGTGCCTTTGACGCGGCCTCGGGCACTGCTGACCGTCTGACATGGTGTCGAGAGCATCGTCTGCTCTCTGTGACTCTGGGTCATGGTGACACGGACCAAGCAGCTTATACCATGCACTTAAAAGGTTATGAGAGACGCAGGTGACTCACATCCTGGGTGGGACACAGGATCCTATCACCCTGCTCAGAATCGTGCACAATTCAAAACTTACAAATTATCTCTAGAATTTTCCATTGGTTGGCTGAGTAACTGAAAACGTTGCATAGAGAGCAGGAACTACTGGGCCGTTGTCATTATTCTCAGTCTCATCATCACCATAGACAAGAACTCACAGCTCCATAGGATAAAGAACTTCCCAAATGATGGGTCCCTCCGCATCTCCAGAGAATACACCACGACCCTTGATGCTGCCATCTAAGGACACTGAGACCCCAGCAGACAGGGGTGATTTGAACAAGACATAAAAATAGCAGCTGAAAGGGCTCAGGCCTCTAGGTCATTCTCAGTCCCTTCATGTCCCCTTCCACAATTTGGTGTACCACCGAATCAGACTGTGTAGCCGGAGAGGGCAGGAGTCCCTTCTCAAATACGGAATCCTGCTTGTCCCTCTCACTGGCACTTGGAGATTAGCAAGGAGTACCGGCCATTGAGAGAAGAATTTTACAGCAATCTTAATATAGCTGAATTGGGTCCCTGAGAAATTCAGCACACACACACACACACACACACACACACACACACACACAAAATCTCCAAGCCTGCCAGGAATCTTTATGAAGCCAGGTAGATCCCTCAATAGCCCTCCTTGGTGACAACAGTGGCCAAGAACAGCTTGCGGAGGAGCAGGCCAGCATGCCCACAGCTCTGCCATGGGTCTGAATATTTCTAGTACTTTCTCACAGTGAGGAGGCAAAACCACTTGGCAGCTGAGAAAGCATCTCTATTGACTTTTTAGAAACCTTATGATATTCTAGGTGGATCAACACTTCTCACAGCCCTTTAATCTGCCAAGCGGGATAATATGTGCATGGATAATTTATCCACTGTGAGATTGAAATGCTCAATTTGGAATAACTTTCCCTACCCAGTAAATTGAGCATCACTCCGCGATTCCAGGGTCGAGAGAAAGCACAATTTAAAAAGCTTTCCCGGGTCCTTTTGTAATTAGTCGCAGCTTCCCTTGAATATTAATTTCCCCCTCGCCTCTTTCGAGTGATTTAGAGACTGTCGCAGGGATTGCAGGGACGCACCCCGAGAAGGGCGACAGCCAGCAGCGTGGGCTCCAGCACCCACTATGAAGTAGGCTGCCGAGCGTGCCCTCTGCCCCTCCACGCCGCGTGTGCTTATCAGCACAAACAGTTGAATATTTATGCTAAGAGGATTGTCAGGGGCTGCTTCTGTTACTTTAATTCTTGTTTTAAATAAATAATGAGAACATTTAAACACATTACTCTTGTTGGGGCCCCCGAGGTCAGCTAATCTTATTATTTATGAAGTGATGTGCTACATAATAGTACTTAGTACGTGTTAACAGACGCTATTATCAGGGTCGGATGCGGAGAGCAGAAGATATATTGGAATGTTACGTGTAATGTACGACGGATTGAGTGCATAGGATGCCGGTATGGCAATTAACCACGTGCGAAAATAGGTGTAAAGTTGAAGTATGCTTTCCCCTGGGAATCCCCTCCCCATTAATAATCCCCCAGAGAAGAAATGTCTTCCCATGAGGGGCTTACCCATTCCTATGACTGGGAGTGGGTGTGGCCATTCTGGCTGACAGCGACGGGAGGGCAGAGGTAGGGGCACCTACACAGCTGTTGCAAACACAGGTTTGGCGCATGTGCTCTGCCTGTAAGAAATCATTCATTACTTACTACACCCAGGTTTTTTCCTATGACCCTCATTTTTCAGATAACTAGAACGGAAACCAAAGCATTTGCCAAACCCAATTTTAAATGAGCTCAACTCCCGGAGAGGGTAGTGCCTCCGAGATGCGAGGATGGCACTCCAACGTCTTCCTACCAGGCTACAGTTTAGCTGCATATGATAATTAATTTCTCCACTATTGATGAATAATCCATTTAATAAAAACGGTGATTTAAGTGTTTTCCTTGGGGACTAACTCTTGCAGGCCTCTTAATTTAATTTGGTGGAAGTTTCCCCACCTATTCATCAGCGGAAAGGATATTAACCTCTATCTGCATATATCCTTATAAACCTCTTTCTCCTTGGAGTGCCTTTTCTTCTGAGCCCAGCAAGCCGGGACACCTGTAAATCTCCAGGATCTCCAAAGTCAATCCTGGCCTGTAATATTGTTTAATCTATTCTTGGACGTTTTAATGCAGTAAATTCAATTTAATCTTTCCCAGTAATCTAGTAATACATCGAAATCCCACAAACATTTAAATCTGATAATGGCTTAATCACACACTTTAAATAACTGTTGAGATAATGAAAAAATAATTCACCATTTTAAAGGCAGAGTAACTCAATTTCCCTAGTGATTGGCTTCTCCGAAACCACTGGAGATAATGCAGATGTGGGAATTGGAGAAACCTGAAGCCCCAGCCCCGAGCGGAACAGGTTCTCCTCAGAAATGTGTGCTCTCTGCCGTGTGAGCGCCTCCTCCCACTTCACCGTCCCCATCACCTTCGACAGCTGCTGTTGGAACATTTGCCAGTTTCATTCTCCACTTTCCCAGAAGTCTGGAACTTCCGGGCTTTCCCTCCAGTGGATTAATTGCTGCTCTTCCTCTCCTAGGTGCCAGTCCCGAATCGTCCGGAACTTACCAGCCAATCAGAAGCCAGACTGCCGGCCCTACTGGGAGAAGGATGACCCTTCCATGCCTCTGCCCTTTGACCTCACAGAGGTGGTTTCAGAGCTCAGAAGCAAGCTTCTGGGACCAAAAGCCTAGAGGAAGCACAAGTCCGTAGGTGGCGAAGGACAAGATATCCTGGCTTTCCTCCCCGAACCTTGGACAAGGGTAGTGTAGACGCCTCTCAACCCATAGGTTATAGGACCTGGGTTCCAACTCAAAACAGCTCAGAAATAAAGCCCAGAAATAGAGAAATGTTGAAAAATCGCGCAGTGTTTTAATCTGATTTGGTGTTAAACTAGAACACACACACACACCACAAAATATTGCCCACTCTTTTTCTCCCTTGGGAGCCCTTTCTGTCCCCAAGGCAGCAACAGGAATGAGCTAAGCATCGTCTCCTTTCCTCTTGGGCTTGCCACCTCAGAGACAAAGAGTAGACCCAGGCATGGAACCCCAGAGCCGGAGATAGCCACCCCAGCTTCTCATCTTGGCTTCTGCGGTTGAGCCATCCACAGACGGTGGTTACTAGCTCACTGTAACTGCACAGACCTAAATTTAAGCTCAGTTGTAGCTACAAATCCCTTCTTCACGTGCCCTGGCCACACGTCATGTGCCTGTCGGGGGTGCGATGACTTCAGTTTCAGACAACACATCCGGGTTTCAGGTTTACGACAGGCATTTCCCTCTTATGGTTTTCTGTCTGTAGCAGCAATTGCTGCTGTAACCGTGGAGGACAGAAATGAAAAGCAGTCCCAGAACAGTAACACAGCTCAGTGAGGGCCCAACTGTGAGCAAGGAAGGAACAGCAAAGGAAACAGCCACATCCTGTCTTTGCGGGGCTTCCCTGATCCAATGACAGAGGACAGCCCTACAGACACTATTTCATGGAGTTAGCGTTTCTTTTAGAATTTCCCCATTCGTAGGTACCGGCAGGTGGCATGGGTTCCCATCCCAGTGATGCCGGAGCCTCAGAGACTATGGGGAGGGGTCAAGCCTGAATTCAGATTTCAGAGTGCCAGGGTTCAGTTCCCCACTGTGACCTTTGCATGTCCTGTGTCTCAGTTTTCTTATCTGTATGGTGGGAGGTATTGCAAGTACCGACTCCTAACTTGAAGATTAGGTGACGTGGCGAGCTAGAGACAGCCTAACCATCCGATACGTTACGTGAGCCGGCCTGGAAGTAGCAATATTCCTACCCCGCTGCAGCCCTTTGCTGTCTGTGTCTCATGGCCCACATATCTTTCTGCTGGCCTGGAACCCCAGATACCTTGACAACAGCCCCTTCCCTCAGCCCGATTTTCTTGTATGAGTCAGGTTCTTGTACATATGGAGGGTCCGTAAACAGCAGTATCTTTGCTGCAACAACCATTCCATCTGAGGTTCCTTCCCGCCCAGAGTTGCCCACCGGACAGCAGATGGAATTCCCTGGTACGGAAACCCATGTCTCTTAGGCCTTGATTTGCCCCCCTTTTTCATGAGTCCCAACTTCCTCATCGGTAGAGAGTGAGGTCCATTCTCACAGGGTACTGACACAGTCAAATGAAATGACCTCAGGAAGGGGTAGGTGGCTTCAGATGTCACAGACAGGCCCACCACCACCATCCCCAGCCCTCTGGCTCTGTGGGCCATTAGGCCCCGTGGTATTTTTTCTATATTTTATTCCATTAGGTGCCAAAATTATTAGTTGGGAGATTCCACATAGAATAAGAATTTCTCTTTAAAAGTCAGGGCACCCATACTGGGTCCCCGTCCTCGCATGGCAGTGGCTTGGCAGTGGCTGTGACCTCTATGCTCTGCTGCAACCCTGCTACTCTGTGTTATCGTTTTGTAAGCACGCTCCCCCGGCAGCTCTCTAAACCTGCTCGCCAACGCCCTTTGGTAGAAAGCATTAGTGTCAAGTGCTCAGTACGTGTTCCTCCTGTTGAACTGTGCTCGTGGTCTGCCCATACCGCTGTGCTGTGTGCATCCCTTCCTACACAATAAAGAATTCAAAGACGAGAAACCCAAGAGTCTGTGCTTTTTCCCTTTTACACCAGCTTTGGGGCGGGGAGGGGGCGGGCTTTGCCGTGTGGACGGAAGTGGTTCTCACATCAGTTGCTCCTACCTACCTTCCTACCAGCCTTTCCTGGCTGACAGGTTACAGCGCACTTGAGAAAAGTGGTCTAAAAAAATGCATCACCCTCAGGGGCTTTTGACCTCCCTCTTCTCAGACTCCAGCAGTGTAGGGAGCCCTAGGTCAGATTCTACCACCAATCTCTGTCTCCCAGGGACTCTAAGGCTCACGGAGGCCCAGGGTACAGAGTGACTCGCTTAGGAATTTATACTGTCACGGGGAGACAGACAAGAAACCAATACTGTGACAAGATCATTCTAGATGCTTGTGTTTGGAAGGGAAACACCTAGGTGGGGCGTGGAGGGGGACTAGTGACCCAAAGCAGAAGAGAAGGGTAAATTATCCAGGGGTAGTAGGGAAGACCTTTCAGAAGAGGAATCGCAATCACAAAGACTACAAGGCTTGGGGGCCCTTGGAGGTGGCTTCAAGGAAGGAAAGAGGCTTTTGTGGCCCAGGTAGAGAAAGACAGGAGAGTCCTGCCATCCCACTAGAGTAGAGACAGAAGCAGTGGTCCCTGGGAAACGTGGAGGATTTTACACAGGGCAGGTAGAGGCAACTTGATGGGCTATTTTATGCTTTCATCAATCTCTCGAACTAATGCCTAGATCCCAGGGGTCACGGGGACGCACAGGCTCAGTTCCAGGGAGTGTCCTGGCAGCCAGGAATTCCCTGTGGTGGGAAGGATGCAAGCAGCCACCTCCAGCGTGCAGCGTCCACACTAAGCAGCACCCACGATAGTCATCCACTCCTGTTCTTACCAGCAGCCTCCTGCCTGACAGAGTTTTCTAGACAGAAGAGAACGGGGTCATGGCATGGCTTGTGACACAATTTTAGTAATAAGCTTCCAAATCCATCACTAAGTGAGTGGAGGGGTGCCAGAAATGAGATTGCATGAGCCCTGCCTAATGCTGGGGCGCAGGCTTTGTATACGTTTCCAAGGAAGGTATTTTCCTGTGCACCTTTTTTTTTTTTTTTTTTTTTTTTTTTTTTGCCTGCTCTAGTTAAGGCTGATTTTACCACTGGGCAAATTGCATACATTTGGATCCATGCCACGCTAAATACTGTTTATTCTGGGGGTCTGTCAGAGGCGAGTGCATGGAAGACAAGGGGATTCCGCTTTGAAAAGGCAATTCTCATCCAAACAGGTTCAGATGGAGCGAGGCGGCGCGGATTAAAAGGCGCTGAAGTGGTAATGCCGTTTATCCAGTTTGCCTTTGTTACTCTGTGATTAAATGGTATTTTTAATTAAGTTTCATTGGGAGCCATAGGTATCGAGGTGGTGAAATCAATTTGACAACCATAAAGAGGGAGGAAGGCGCAGGCGGGTTGTAATGACTGCCGCCGAGACTGCTGGGAGAGCCGCAGAGAGTCGGCAGCTCCGAGGACAGAGGGGGCAGGCCTGCTATAATGGCTTCTGAAAGGGGACAAGGGCACCCAGGGCAGCTGCTGTGTTTGGGAGGCTGTTCTCGGTGGTTGCCAGCAAAAGGAGTACTCTCGCAGCCCTGAGACACCCCGGGAGATTTGGATAGACTCCAGAACATGCTGATGACACCAGGAAAGAGGCTGTTGTGTGTACAGCGACCAGCAGAATGTCTCCCCAAGACCCCTTGCTGCAGTCTAGCCGCAAGCAGCAACACCCGTAACCCCCTACTCTGACTCCTTCTTTCTGCACCGTTTGCTCGCTTTGCCCTCAGAGCCTTGCCAACGCGGGTTCTTTCTGATATCCAGCCTTCATCTTCCAACACTGGAAGCTAGTTTTCTTGTGCACACAAGCCCGTCTATTTTGTTGACATCTGATTTCCCCAAACCCAAGTCCTGAGTGGCAGTAGAGGCTTCTGGGTACAGACTTTCTGGGTCTGTATTAGTTGCATATATGTGTCCTAAGGCTACACGCCCCTTCCACGCCTCTTTTCCCGTCTAGGGAACGGAAGGTGGAGTAACATGTCTATTGCCTGAGCAGGTCACGAAGGGCATGCAAGTTCACATGCATGTAGAGTGCTGCCATCCACGCCTGGCACGCGCAGGTCTTCAGGAAGTACTAGCTATTATGAACCCAGCCACCTCACGTCCAAGTCCTTGCTGTGTGACTCAAGCAGATGGCTTACCTCTCTGAAATCCAGTCTTCATTGACCCAGTGGGGGAAGATGGAGATGTAGGCTAGCACTTGGCCGTGCCCCACACCCTGCAGTCGGGTCCCGCCGCCGTACCTCAGTAATCACTCAGTGAGTGTCGGTTTCTATCATCAACGACACCCCAGCCGATAGTCGATAGCCACCGAGGCAGGGAGTGCTGCTACTTACAGCTTAGAGGAGACACCACCAGCATGTGTTTCTCCCAGTTGCTCTTCACGACGTCCTTTTTTTTTTTTTTTTTTTTTTCCTCTCAGCAGATGGCCTGGAACTTCTTCTAAATGAGATGGCCTGAAAAATGATTGCTTCATAGTGCTATTACTGCGGCAGGATTAGGTCACCCCTGGCCATTTCAGATTTGCTTAAAAACGTCCCTGCCTCACCTTCTAATGGATGGCCTGTGTACAACAATTGTTTATCGACTCGAATGCCTAAGGATCAGGGTCAGCCTGCTCCGGGGGGGGGGGGGGGGGGGGGGGGGAGGGAAGCATTAATTAACTCCCCGCCATTAGACTCGGTGATTCTTTTCCAATGACGCAGTGCGCGACTTGGTTCGCATTTACTTTTCATCATTCCTGAGCATCCGGATCGAGGGGAGCCAGCTCGCCCGCACATAAGTGTCGGGCTAAATGGATCACAGCAGATACAGATCGGTTCGCCTGTCGGCGCTTGCCTTTAGACAAAATTCATCAATTTTACCAAAGCTACTGACTAATCCGGCACCATTACAAACGAAAGGCCTGCAGCCCGGATTTCCCCCTTTGTTTTCGGCCTGCAGAGGTGGGAGTGTGCTGGCCTTAGACCAGTCCAAGGCCCCTTTAGGAGAGCCGCTTTCCCAAAGGTACAGTGGTTCTGAACCAGGCACGGGTCATCTGGCCCTTTTGGTTATTGACCATGGGATGTATAGTCTTGCTTGGTGTCGCACAAAGATCACTCATGGAGCCGGAGAGGTAACTCCTGGCAGAGCGCTTGCCTAGCATGTGGGGACCCTGAGTTTCATTTATAGTTCTGCAGAGATAT